AGGCTCAATTGCTCTAAAAGTATTTGCGTTATCAAACTCAATCTAGTACTAAATTATAGAGAATTTAATGCTCTTTCCAACCATATATAATTTATTTTGATTTGCTCAAAATTTAATGGAAGTATTGGCAATTGCTCCTAACCTTGTCAGGATTTTTTAAAAAATTAGATCTGAAAATTGGGATTTTCTTTTTGAATTTTTTTCCCTTTTGAAATCGAGATTTGGAAATGATTTTAGAGTTTTTTTCGACTAATTTAGATCCGCTCTATCGATTGGAAAAGTTAAAATTCAAAAAATCTGAAAAATAAAAATTTCGATTTTTTCAAAGGGTTAAGTCGCTGGCATTTACAATTTTTGAGAAAAACGAGTTTGAAATTTTTGACTAAATTTCAACTAAAATCCAACTTTGAGGCTCAATTGCTCTAAAAGTATTTGCGTTATCAAACTCAATCTAGCACTAAATTATAGAGAATTTAATGCTCTTTCCAACCATATATAATTTATTTTGATTTGCTCAAAATTTAATGGAAGTATTGGCAATTGCTCCTAACCTTGTCAGGATTTTTTAAAAAATTAGATCTGAAAATTGGGATTTTCTTTTTGAATTTTTTTCCCTTTTGAAATCGAGATTTGGAAATGATTTTAGAGTTTTTTTCGACTAATTTAGATCCGCTCTATCGATTGGAAAAGTTAAAATTCAAAAAATCTGAAAAATAAAAATTTCGATTTTTTCAAAGGGTTAAGTCGCTGGCATTTACAATTTTTGAGAAAAACGAGTTTGAAATTTTTGACTAAATTTCAACTAAAATCCAACTTTGAGGCTCAATTGCTCTAAAAGTATTTGCGTTATCAAACTGAATCTAGCACTAATTTATAGAGAATTTAATGCTCTTTCCAACCATATATAATTTATTTTGATTTGCTCAAAATTTAATGGAAGTATTAGCAATTGCTCCTAACCTTGTCAGGATTTTTTAAAAAATTAGATCTGAAAATTGGGATTTTCTTTTTGAATTTTTTTCCCTTTTGAAATCGAGATTTGGAAATGATTTTAGAGTTTTTTTCGACTAATTTAGATCCGCTCTATCGATTGGAAAAGTTAAAATTCAAAAAATCTGAAAAATAAAAATTTCGATTTTTTCAAAGGGTTAAGTCGCTGGCATTTACAATTTTTGAGAAAAACGAGTTTGAAATTTTTGACTAAATTTCAACTAAAATCCAACTTTGAGGCTCAATTGCTCTAAAAGTATTTGCGTTATCAAACTCAATCTAGCACTAAATTATAGAGAATTTAATGCTCTTTCCAACCATATATAATATATTTTGATTTGCTCAAAATTTAATGGAAGTATTGGCAATTGCTCCTAACCTTGTCAGGATTTTTTAAAAAATTAGATCTGAAAATTGGGATTTTCTTTTTGAATTTTTTTCCCTTTTGAAATCGAGATTTGGAAATGATTTTAGAGTTTTTTTCGACTAATTTAGATCCGCTCTATCGATTGGAAAAGTTAAAATTCAAAAAATCTGAAAAATAAAAATTTCGATTTTTTCAAAGGGTTAAGTCGCTGGCATTTACAATTTTTGAGAAAAACGAGTTTGAAATTTTTGACTAAATTTCAACTAAAATCCAACTTTGAGGCTCAATTGCTCTAAAAGTATTTGCGTTATCAAACTCAATCTAGCACTAAATTATAGAGAATTTAATGCTCTTTCCAACCATATATAATTTATTTTGATTTGCTCAAAATTTAATGGAAGTATTAGCAATTGCTCCTAACCTTGTCAGGATTTTTTTAAAAATTAGATCTGAAAATTGGGATTTTCTTTTTGAATTTTTTTCCCTTTTGAAATCGAGATTTGGAAATGATTTTAGAGTTTTTTTCGACTAATTTAGATCCGCTCTATCGATTGGAAAAGTTAAAATTCAAAAAATCTGAAAAATAAAAATTTCGATTTTTTCAAAGGGTTAAGTCGCTGGCATTTACAATTTTTGAGAAAAACGAGTTTGAAATTTTTGACTAAATTTCAACTAAAATCCAACTTTGAGGCTCAATTGCTCTAAAAGTATTTGCGTTATCAAACTCAATCTAGTACTAAATTATAGAGAATTTAATGCTCTTTCCAACCATATATAATTTATTTTGATTTGCTCAAAATTTAATGGAAGTATTGGCAATTGCTCCTAACCTTGTCAGGATTTTTTAAAAAATTAGATCTGAAAATTGGGATTTTCTTTTTGAATTTTTTTCCCTTTTGAAATAGAGATTTGGAAATGATTTTAAAGTTTTTTTCGACTAATTTAGATCCGCTCTATCGATTGGAAAAGTTAAAATTCAAAAAATCTGAAAAATAAAAATTTCGATTTTTTCAAAGGGTTAAGTCGCTGGCATTTACAATTTTTGAGAAAAACGAGTTTGAAATTTTTGACTAAATTTCAACTAAAATCCAACTTTGAGGCTCAATTGCTCTAAAAGTATTTGCGTTATCAAACTCAATCTAGTACTAAATTATAGAGAATTTAATGCTCTTTCCAACCATATATAATTTATTTTGATTTGCTCAAAATTTAATGGAAGTATTGGTAATTGCTCCTAACCTTGTCAGGATCCCAAAAAAATTTAAACCTTAAAATTGAGATTTTCTTTTTAATTTTTCTCTGTGTTGAAATCAAGATTTTGTAATAATGTTATAGTTTTTTTCGACTAATTTAGACCCGCTTTTTCGATTGGAAAAGTCAAAATTCAATAAATATGAACAATAAAAATTTCGATTTTTTCAAAGGGTTACATACCTTTAGATTTTTATTCAAAATATTTGATCTTGGATAACTTAAAATCTAATAAAGATTTTGAATTAAAATTTTCAATAATGACAAGGGCTTTAAAATGGTATTTAGTTAAAATTGCTAGCTCTTATGGTTTTTGAGAAAATCGAGTTTGAAATTTTTGATAAAATTTGGACTAAAAGTTAATTTTGAGATCCAATTGCCAAGAAAGTATTCGAGTTATCAGAACAACCAATTTAGCATAGATTTATAGAGAATTTAATGCTATTTTTAACCATATATAATTTGTTTTCACTTGTTCAATTTTTTTTGAAGATATTGGTCATTATTCCTAACCTTGTCAAGATTGGAAAAAATTTCCAGAACAAAAATTGAGATTTTGCAGTATTCTGCAATCGCCATTTTGAAAGTGATGTTAGAATTTTTTTCGTTTAATCTAAACGCGCTGAATCAATTAGAAAAGTCAAAATTTTGAAAATATGAAAAATAAAAATTTCGAGTTTTCGATTGGTTTGACTAAAACCCCCTATAAGCAACGCCACTGGCCAAACAAAATACATGTTGCCAACTTGAAAAATAACCGGCCAATAGTAACAAGAGCCTGGAATAAACAGAAATTGAAATATAAAAAGGGAAACATATATAAATATATCAAAAGAACAAATTCAAATTTTTATAAAAATCAAAGGATCTCACACACCGCTTATGGGAATTTGGTTTTCTGTCAAACAAATGAAATTTGTATGTTCATGAAGGAAAATTTTAATACATTACGAGGGATGTTAATAAAGTGTATGCTATTGTTAAAATTATTTAAAATTGATGAAATTTCAAAATCACCAGAAATGGCTATTTTTCAAAAAGTTTTTCAACAATCACCAGATTTTTCATAAAATCACCAGATCTGGTGAAATTTCACCAGACCTGGCATCACTGGAGAGAATCATTGTTTGCCCTTATTAGAGTATTTTTAACAAAAAGATCTTATCAGGTTAGGGTTAATGGCAATTCAAAGTTCCACAGCAAAGTTCTGTGCTGTGACTTTTTTTTTGGCGTTGCCATCAATTTCGCAGCTATCATAAAAATAATAACTTTTTTTGCTGATGAAAACAAGTAAAAGGGTATAATATGCCCATCCAAAAGCACAATAATATGAACTGCAAGAAGATTTAAGTAACAGTAAAGTTGAAAAATGAAACTAAATGAAGACAACTGTTCAATTCTTAGCATCACCGAACATCCTCAAATGTTGCAGAATCCCATATTGAGGCATTTTGATGAACAAGCGGATCAAGACATTACAATCCTCTGCAGTTTGAAATGAGAGTCACATAATCATTTATTTCATACTAAAAGCTTTTCAGGACCGTTCTGCTTAATCAATACTGAAACTGTTCAAATAAATTATATGAAGTCGATATTTTGTAAGGGGCAAAGAACTTTTAGTGAAATGTCAACTAAGGTCGTCCAAGAATCATTGACAGCAAGATTTTGAATTTAAACCCACTGGTTTTCAGTTGACGACTTTAAGAGTGCGCTGTCTACAAGGTGATTTTGTTGAGACATTTAAAATAAATATGACTATCTTCCATACAGGTAATATTGTTAATCTCAGAGGAAATACAAAATATTAAGAGAAAGAAAAGTCAGCTAAGCTTTCAAGAAAAACTTCCTGGTGAATCTTGTGGTGCTCCTTATCCGAAAGTGCGGTGTCAGCCCAAAGTATTAAAAAAAAAAACTTGATGAAGAATTGTTGATCATTTTTAACAGGGGTGCACATTGCACCTTATGAACAACAATAAATCAATATCTTGGTGTTTTTATTGGTATTGTATGATGAAAACACAGCAAGCAAAACTGCATTCAATAGACTCATTGGATTTTGAAACATTTTCTATAGTAAACCATTAATAATAAAAAGAATAATTTGCAATAAAGTTGTTATTATTATTATTATTATTATTATTATTATTTTAATGAGCAATGTTACCATAAGTGAATGACATTCTATTTATATAACTATCATTTTTGTTGCCTTCAACGAATATTTCGGAATATTCTGATAAATATTTTAAATGCTAATCCACTAAACACCCACCAGGTGTTTTTTCAATAAAGTCTCTCGGAGAGAGCAAATCAGGTATCAAAACATTGACAAGATTCAGATAAATCATCATGTCACACAATGTTCCGATGACAAAAAAGTTATACTTACATTTCCAAAACAGCTTTAAGTTGTTCCAGTTTCCCTTGTTTTTCTTCGATCTCAGGATCGGCTTCGTGCTGCTGAATTTCGGCCAGCAATGACCTGGCAATATCAAGGATTTCTTGCAATTGCTTTGGCCTTTTGAGTTTGACATGGCCGTGCTTAAAGCCATCATATTTGTCAAAAATTTCAAAGAATCTACAAAAAAAAAATTATAGTTAAATAAGTGACAATACTGCTGGGAATATATTCTTACTTTGGATGTCGAACTTCCACTTTCATTTTCTGTTTAGGGGTACGATCGCCATGCCTTATTACTGCAGTAACACATCTGAGTTCCATCATTTTACCAAATGTAGTTGGCACAATAGGAGGATCGTCCAATTGAAAAGGAACTGACCATGGTATGTGTAAAGTAGGCGCCAATTCTCTTAATATCATGTTTCCTAATATTTTTGCTGAGTCATCGTAATACTTATTCGAATTCTTAACAAAACTAAATCCATTTACATCACAGACAAATGATTTTCCGTTTGCTCTGAGCAAATCGAAACCACAAACGGCCTGTTTAAAAGCCAGGCAAACCTTTCTAGATATCAATTTTTCGGCATTACTTAAAATCACTGGATAACGAATTTCTTTGCCTTCTCTATCTCTTTCTACTTTTCCATCTAAAGCTGGCGATTTCCTGGCTTCTGCGTGTGCATAATCAGGTCCCACAGTATATACCTAAAATATACAAACATCAAATGCTAGTTCACCAACTTCTATCTTATGAAAAGCAATAGTTTCAAACCAGAATTATAAAATGCTAATACAATTCTTTCACTTACTTTAACATCTGTTCCGTCGGTTGGCATAAAATCTTCATATATAAAGCTACCGGTTTTTCTCACCCTGGATTCAGGGGAATAAACGCTGCTTCGGCTGCCAATCTAAAACAAATATTGTTCTATTAAAAATATACACCTATTATAGGATAAACTGACCTTTCGGAAAAGTCTCTGGCTGCCTCCACCCGCACTTGTAGGATAATATATGTAAATATTGTGATCTTCCGCCGAAACAGGTTTTTCAACAAACGGCTTATTAAAAACAATTCCATTTACTTCAACGTGATCCTCAGATTCCACCAATTCATGATCTATCGGATTTGGGCTATCCCTATCCAAAACCGCATACCTGGGTATCTCTATGCCCTCAGATTCCAATGTAGAATACACTTTTCTTCTATCCTGAATATCATATTGCTTGTGCAAGTTGTTGATCACATATGGATTGTGAAGTTGAGCATACTGAATCGCTTTATCTAAAGGAAATCCTTTAGAGTGGAACGAAATTAAACAATCGCAGACTGGCCATTCTTCAACTGGTTTCTACATAAGGATTTAATAAATCATAAAATTATGAATATTCTTTTGGAGTGCTTACATGTAAAATCACCTCCTCTTGAAACACAATAACTTTTATATATTCAAATTCTTGTAGTCTAGTCAATATTTCCTTCATAGGTTTGCTCTGGGTCTTCTTTTCCATTGCACACACCCCCACAATAACGACTTTGCCCCCATCTTCCATGTCTTGAACGTCTTGAGGGTTCAGGGTCATATTGTTGGGATCGCATAATTCCAAATCACCCTAGAAAATTCAGAATTTCAAAATTGGAGGTCATGGTAATATCAAACTCATAAATTAGTTATGTTTAATGAAAATCATTTTGTTAGTCCTTCTCTAATACTAATATGTTATAAAATTATTCAAACCACACCAAGTGATACGAAAAACTACTCATGTATTTAAAGCTTTAGTTACTCATTTATTAATGTTCTCAATCAGTACCACCACATGCTAAGAATATTTACATAATTTACCTCACCCAAGCCATGTGATGACATCTGACTGTATTTGTTTAAATGTCAACTAGCCGTTTTTATTTCGAAGAAAATATACAAAGCTTGTCCCAAAAAAATGCAAAAAGTGAATACAGGACATTATTTTACACCATCAACAGAAGATGTACTTCAAAAGAAAATTTAAATTTAATTTATTTAATATGACGCATAGGTAATTTTTTCCTAAAACACTTTTGCAATAACTGGAGAATTTCTATCTTCCAAAGTCAAGGCATATTTAAATTTGTCAAACTTTATTCGCAGACTGAGCCCAGCCATTTTGTTATGAATTTCTCCAGTTGAAGAAATTGTGTACAATCTTGCAACACTGCCTGATGACTATTATAGAGTTTTACTGCGCAATTGTCCGGCGATTTATCTAGACAATTTAGTTTTGTAACTAGTTTAGCTTGATTATAGTGTATACTGAAGTCTTTTATTAGTGCAAGTCTTTCGTGATTTTTACTATTATTGTCTAGAATAAAGGTAAATTAATTTTGGAAGAGTAGTCTCACTTATCTACGACAGGCTTACGTAAATTTTTACTTTTGAAATAATTTATCTAATATAACAATACTGACAAACAAAAATCTGTAATGTAAAACAAATCACAAATCATCACAAAATAATGTTTTTTCCGGGATAAAAAGTAGCCTATACCATTCCCCTTAATATGGAGTCTACGTGGTATAATTTTCAAGGAGATCGGCCAGCCGTTCTCGAGTTCTAAAAAATAATACAGTTACCTCGGTTGAATGCGCAAACTTAAAAAAATGTGACAACGCGTTGTTTCACGATATCAAAAAAAAAAGTTGGGTGTGAATGAGTTTGTTTATAATAATTAACAATTATTTTTATGTACTTCAGGGATTTGTGCCTGTTTTATTTAATCCCCGGGAAATAAAGTGCATAAAATAGTGTATACACCTCAGGACTAAAGTGTTTTTTATTCCCTCGACAAATTAAATATATAGAGACTACGGACTACGTGGTATAAATTTTAATTCAAGGAGATCGGTCCAGTCGTTCTCGAGTTATGGACTTTTAAACCAACCCGACTGTGTTTTACATAGGTGGTATATACGAGGTCAATTTCCTAAAGTTAATAGGTGGTCTGGTAATGGGTAACTTGATGACGCATCTGGGGTGCCTTATGTAGATTTGCATTATTTTGAGGCACCCCAGATGACGTCATAAGGTTATCAGGCAACCTACCTCTATCTCAAATAACCTTGATACCAGGTGCCCACGAGATTACTTTCCGGCTGCCATTTTTTTATTAGTTTATCGATATCAACAAAACTTGGTAGGCTTGATATTCTAAGGACGCGTTTTCACGGTCGATCTGAACGATTTGTGTCGATCATTGAAGAGAAAGCAAAATTGAACATGTAAACTACCTTCGAAGACGGAGAGAGTCGATCCGACCGAAGTAGAAAGGTTGTTTACTTTTACAGGCGATCGTCGCCGAATCGAAGTCGAACGACTGGAATCGAATGTGTAAACACCTCGCCGAAAGAAAACAGAACGTGCCTAACGCTGAATGGTGTTGTTTAAAGTTTTTATTTTTGGTGCGACACGCTATAGTTTTGTGGAAAAATGTGTGAAAAATGTTCATATGCGGACATGGCGAGATTCTGGAATGCTTATCAGAATTATGATGTATTATTGAATCCACAAACCACAAACGCATAGCTGTCGCCAGTGGCTAAGAACCCAAGAGTTATTCGCAATTTCAGCCTTGCTGATAATGCTTCACGCATATTTGTATGGTTCCTCTGAATTCTTTCTACAGTTTTTTAAAAAAGTTTGTTTAGATTTCTTTAATAACTCAAGTCATTTATTGCACGTCATCGACGGTTCACAACACGCCCTATGTTATCGAACGCCCCATATAACCCAACATTTAATGACAGTTTCGGTCTGGAAGATTCGATTCCAGTATCATCCAGGTCGGGGATTCTAAAATCACGATTCGACATACGATTCGACAACGAGACGATTTTTCCGACGATTCTAGAATCTCGGCCAGTTTCACACACTCAGCGCAACAAGTTCCGTGTCAATGCACTTCCTCCACGTGGTTAAAAAACCAACACTGTTAATTGCTATAATTAATTTAATCGTAACATTGTACTGTTCGTCTTTGCTAATCCGTTTGTTTGCGGTAGTAAAAGTGTTTTGAGTTGGAATAAACCGATTAAAAACTAACCGCGTTCGAGTTTTATTAAAACCACCCAAGGTCTATCTGGTCCACTCTATCGAAGGAACTCTAAAATCCCCACATAATTTCTGGTCCTTCGAGCCGGATTGTTGACTTGCAACCGATTAAAATCGATAGACAAAGTGGTTTTAAGAAACAATTCGGATAGTTTTGACGTTGAAAATAGTACTTGTGTGCATTGACTCGTGAAAACAAAAAAGTGAACTCTCAGTAATCCAGTCTCCGCCCCATTGTAGCAGACTGCAGGATCGCAGTCCTCGCGCTACGCCCCAGTGGCCTCGCGGCTCTAGTTTTGTGGCCCAATCCCGTGGCCTTGCAAATTGGAAATTGAAGATTACGGCACTCTGTCGCCTGGATTTCAAGGAAAATTTAAGGTCAGATCTTTCAATTTTATTTATGATGGTTATGGAAAGTCGTTCACTACAGAACTTCAAGAATTTCATCACACTGTGACTATTGGTTTTTTTGTAGTGGTTTTGTGCGTTTGTTTTGGTGTTCCATAGAATATTTTTGCACTCTCTGTGGCAAATACTTATTTGCAATTTAACTGACATTAATTTAAAGTAGGAAGGAATAATACAGACTCTTTTCTCACAACCTTTTTATAAAATTCTTACAATCTTTCTCGTTTTTCAAAAACAAAAAATTTTTTATTTCATTTAAAGCTAAAGCGTAGATACCTATTTCTTTCAATTTAAAATGTCTGAATTAGGAATTGATGTAGAAAGCCTCAAATGCAAAAGAGGCAGGCAAAAGGCTGTGATAACAAGAATTGAAAACTTTGTTCGACAAAATGTTGATGTTGCAAATATTGATGTTAATGATTTTGTTGTAAGGGAAGTGCGATTACACAAAGCTTATGCGTCATATCTAGAAGTACAAGATGATATTGAAGATGTTGACGAAACTCAATCTGCTGACAGAGATGAATTTGAAGGTAGATATTTCAATCTTGCAGCAAAGTTAAAATCTTTAATTCAAAGGTTTTCTCAGGTATCAATTAACTCGCCCATCCCACAACTTCTAGCCACACCGCCTCTAGCCTTGCCTAATGGCCCACCAATTAACCCTCATTCAATTCAAGTTAAGCTTCCTAGTTTAAATGTACCTACTTTTACAGGTAATTTCAAAGATTGGCCCGCTTTTAAAGATATTTTCTCTGCACTAATAGATTCAAATCAGAATCTCTCCCCTGTGCAAAAACTAATGTATTTGAAATCTGCTTTGAAAGGTGAACCATTGGACCTTGTGAATAGTTTGTTAATGACCAACGAAAATTATGCAGTTGCAAATGAAATGTTGAACAAGCGATATGACAAAAAACTTTTGATTATTAATTCATTGTTGCAGGGTCTATTGGACGTCCCACATATTTCCAAAAATAATTGCACAGCCTTGAGGCAATTCATAACTCAGGTTAACAAAAATCTAAAGTCATTAGAAGCATTACAAGTTGATATCGAGAATTGGGATTTGCTTTTAATTTATATTTTCTCTAAACATTTAGATGCTACAATAAGGCAAGACTTTGAACTAGAGCGAGAAACAGACGATTTGCCTACATTGGACGAATTTATGGATTTTTTAGAAAGAAAGTGCTCATCGTTAGAATCACTAACAGATAATTTCAATACTGAAAATAAGTATTCTCAAAAAGGTTCACGAGTTCATGTCGCTCAAGAAACTGACACAAATAAATATATAGGTTGTTTTTATTGTAAATTCAAAAACCATAAGATTTATAAATGCTCTAAATTTTTGAAAATGCCTGCTTCTCAAAGAAAACAGTTTGCTATGCAGAATAAATTGTGTTTTAACTGCCTCGGTAATAAGCACAATATGTCTCAGTGTCCCTCGTCAAATTGCAGGATTTGTTCTGCAAGACACCACTCTCTGTTGCACGAATCTCGAGAGAGTGGAAGTACAATGCATCAAGTGCATGAGCCTTCACCCAAACCACCTGGTAATAATGTACAACCGAGTGTACAACCCAGTGCACAACCCAGAAATCCCCATAGTAGGCCTCATTCTCAGGATGCAAATAAACATGTTGTAGTAGAGCACGCTGCGCTAGAGCTCTCTCAGGATAACGTCTCAGAAGACAATAATCCAAGCTCATGTCATTTGTCTCAAAGCTATTCTCAAATATTGCTTGCTACAGCAAAGGTGTTATTAGTTTCAGAAAATGGAACCAAAGTGCTTGCACGTGCGCTATTGGACTCCGCATCTCAAACGACTTTTATCACTTCACATATGTTTAAGAAGTTAGCATCGCCCTCAGTTAAAATTCATCTACCAATTTCAGGAATAGGTAGCACTAGAACTCAAGTGACTCACTCTGTGAAAGTGAATATTTTGTCTCGACACGAAAAGTTTTCTCTCTTTGCTCATTGTGCCATATTGGACAGAATTACGTCTGTGATTCCTCATGTCAGAGTGGACACAAGTAAATTGCCCTTGCCTCAAAACTTAAGGTTGGCTGATGAAGAATTTCATATTCCCGCACCTATAGATTTGTTAAT